AAGCCTTGTCAGAATATATCAATGAGATCAAAACCATTTAATTATTCAATGGCTCAACAATTGAATTTTTTTCGTTGGAATTCTTTTTGAGGAAATCGTAAAAATTTAGAAAAAAGTTTCCGTAATCTCCCAGCCTTATTTAAATACGTAATTTAAGTTTCGTACTTATTTTCGTGTTTTAGTTAGGCACACACAAACACAGACCTCAAAACATTCATTTCCATTTAAAACTCAAATTCGAAATTTTTCCCAATATTATCCCGCACTTTATGTTTTATATAAATGAGTATATGATGATAAAAATCTCAAAAGAACTAATTTATTCGAGTTAGTTCCTCTCAATCATCTGCAGTCGTTTATCTATGACGTCGATCTTAGGTTCAGCTTGCCATAAAGGAAATAACGCAAGTCATCTGCACAACTCTTGAGAACTCTAAAGAGAATCATAGCATTTATGATTATGCAGTCGTTTTGGTTCAAGAGAAGAGCATTCAATAAACAATTCTCGGTAGTTTCCAAAGATCTGATTATCATTTATAATGATTCGCTTGCATTTGTTATTCTTGAAGGTGTGAAAAAAAATAAGCGGGACAGGATTTTCATGCGATTGCATATTTTGGTTGCATGCGGGTTTTAAACAGCTGATCAAATATGCTTACGGATGAGTCTACTAAGATGCAATTAGTCTAATTTTATATTCTATAGTTGACGATAAATGCATATAATTACATATTCGGATATTTTCAATTATGTAAAAAATGTATGTAAGATAAATAAATAAAACGAAAGTTCGAAAAAGAAATTCCAAATTGCTTTGATTTTCAATCAACAAAATAAAAATACCCTTTAACAATTGGTTTTAACAGAAGATAGATTTTTTTCATTTCACGGCTTTTCATCTCCTCTTTACATCCCTTTGAATTAATTATTAAACGCCAGAATCAGTTTTAACTTTTTTTTTTTTACTTTCGTAATAATTTTTTATTGAAGACAAGAGTAAGTAACTCTTTTCCCTCTGAATTCGGTGATTACATCAACAAAGTTGAAAAGTTTTTAAAACTGTGGACAAATTATTTTGCAACAATTGTTCAAAAAAAGGAAAACTATAATCGGTTTTGTTTCCATCACGTCTGTTGATGATGAAAAATCATTTCCTAAAATTAAAATATTTTAAACGATAGATTACATTATATAGAAATTCATAAAAAATGCATCTGATAATTAATTTTAATGCAGAACAAGTCGTACACTAATCCATTTTTTTTATCCTGTTAATTTTTCCATTATTTTTTTAAAAAACAATCATGACTAATATTCTTTTTTTTTACTATTGTAAAAAGTTCCCACCACTTTCATATTTAGTTTTAAAAAGTATTTCAAAGTTTATTTTTAAAAATAAATATTTTAATACATTTATATGTTAATATGTATTTTAATTATATCCATATACGTTTTATTTTATTTTTTCAATATTGTCAAATAATTATTCTTTACCAATTGCTATTTTCCTATTGTTACTAAATGGCTAGTTTTTATTATTTTGATATTTTGCTCATTTAAAAAGATTTTAATATTATGTGTTTAACAATTACTACATGTATGTTTATTAGTTTTTACGTGATACCATATTTTAATTATTAATTATTTTATGTTTCAGAATTTTCGATTCTTTTTTGTTTTTATTTCAGTACTTTTTTTTGTTTTGTTTTTTATTGCATATGTAATGACATTCTCTGTGATTTTTCATTACATAAAAATCCGGAGGGTTCTAATCATCTCATCTAGTCATCACCATGTTTCCGGCTTTAATATAAACAGTTTCTGTAACAATTTATTTTTAATGCATTATCGATAAATATAATTTCAGGCAACGATTCTTCAACGAGTATTATATATAATTAATACATTTTATTTAATGCCTCTTAATATCTGTCATAATATGGTAAGATAGTCTTTTGTATTGTTTAAATGTATATGCATGGATTGTTTAAATATATAATGGAATATAAAGATAGAATTTTCCTTGTTGAAAATAAATGAGGAAATCATGTTCTTAAACTCATTAGAAGATATGGTCGTGCCCAATAACAAACACATTAAATGTGAGTTATTTCGAATTCGTTTTTTTATAAAATATGCGCATTGCATTTTACACTATTTTGTGGTGAGTTGTGAGAACAAAAATAACGTGTTTATAACAAAAATAAAATTTAAATTACTTTATAACCTCAGACAGAAATAAAAAAAATCGTTTATCTAATTCCCACCTTTTTCACGATTATAAAAACAGTTGATAACAAATCATCAGGATGAACAATTGTGAAAAGAAGTGATAATATTAACTTACGGTATCATTTAGGAATATCACAAAATTGAAGGCAAGGACTTACCTGAAACATAGAAAAGAAAACAATTAATAATTATTAAACACTGTATATTAAAAACATAAATTATTTATTACAAATCATTTAATTGTTAACACATTTTAATTGTTAACACACATTTATTTTGAAAAAATATATAGAAATAAGTATGACCAAAATCGTTTTATACTGCTACAGCATTAACGAAAATGTAAAGAAAATAATGTAAATGATTATTAACTATATATTTTTTTAATGGGCAGTAATTTTACAGCAGTAAACTAATTACTTTTATTTATTTATTTTTATTACGTTTAACTTAATTAAAATCGATTCATTTTTCATATCTAGGATTTTTACACTGATATCATTTTCAGATTCACTTTTTTTGTACTAAGAAGAATAAAAAAATAGAAAATTAATTTTAAAATTAAACTTCACAAATTTCTATACTTCTTTAAGTTTATTCAGTTGAAAGAATAGAGAATTATACTGTTTTATTTTTCATCTGATCGTAAGAACTCGAAGAATTTTTTATTTTTTATTTTCTGGATACTCCACTGAATACAGTAATATAAAACTAATTATTTTTCTGAAATTCGAAATAATCCAGTTTCCAAGAAGGAAATTCATTACAGTTTATGATTAAGATTTCAGTAGTGTATTTATAAGAAAATATTTAAAGCGAAATGGAAGGCATCCAAAAATGACAACTGCAAAATGGGCTTTATTTATTTTTCGGACACATCGATTCTCAGTAGTTTCACTTAACCTTGTTGCTAAATTCAGAACAAAAAATTTAAACAAGAAGTAAAAAAAAAAAAAAACGTCTGCCAAGTTAATCAGTACTATAGAAGAAAATATGTATACTTTTAACTAACATTATATTTTAATTTAAAACTAATGCAATATTAATGTTAAATCGCATTAAGTTAAAAAAGTTATCTAACCTTCCATTGTCGGGTGTTTACTACTTGGCACATTTCACATCCATTATATTCTTAATAATAAAATCAATTATTTAATTAAATTAATTTGAAAAGGAAATTGATACCACGTCATTTTTATATTATTTCTCAAATTTCCTCCAACATTGAACCAATTTGAAAGAGTCCTTTGCCCATCCTTGGAAGAAAATAGGTAATTGAATTGGATAAACTATACACACACACATATATATATATATATATATATATATATATATATATATATATATATATATATATATATATATATTAATTTTCCATTTTTTTATTCTTCTTAGTACAAAAAAAGTGAATCTGAAAATTAATTCAGGGTAAAAATCCTACATATGAAAAATGAATCGATTTTAATTAAGTAAAACGTAATAAAAATAAATAAGTAAAAGTAATTAGTTTACTGCTGTAAAATTACAGCCCATTAAAAAAAAATAAAAAAAAATAAATAATAATTATTTACAATATTTTCTTATATATATATATATATATATATATATATATATATATTACAAATTCCTTACTTAGCCTGATTTAAATCTTATTGAACGAAATATAGTCTCATTCCAATTTACTCCTTGATATCCAAAACTCAAAAACCAAGTAAAAAATATTTTTTTGGTGCTTAGGTTTTTGAGAACAAAATTTTGTTTAACGTCTCTCCTTCCCAACCTTTGATATTAGAGAAGCAAACCTATAATAAGTTGCCTATCGAACAAAATTTAATACCCGCTAAGAAGTATTTTTTTTTAATGAAAACTTCTTTAGGCGCGTTTTGCACTGTTTTGTGAAGAGTGAATTAGATTGAGCCGTCAGATTTCGGGTGTGTAACGCTCGGGAAAAGTCAGCTGGAATAGACTATTAAAATGTTTTTGTATATACGATTAAAGTACCTCAAAAACTAAAAGTCGGACCTGCGTACTGTAAGCGAGAAAATTTTTCAGCATTTCATCCCCTCTGCAATGGGCTATTATTGAAAATTGCATCTTGACGTGACGCCCCGTCTGAGAGGCAAAAAGGGAAATATGTAGTGTTAAAAACCAAATCATAACGAATTTCGTACTAAATTTTCTCATATTAAATATGATAAATTGTAATTGGATAATGAGATATAATTAAAATAATGAGAATATGGATTATCACATATTTCACTTATCATAAATCTATTGTTTTGTTTTTAGAGTATGATACTGACTTAGTGTCAAATTTTGTTTGTTTATTTGGGCTTTGAGGAGTAAAACTCTAGTGTCATAAATGCCTGTTCTTTATTCTTGTTCTTTGGAGCTCAGAAACTCGTTAGGAAAAAAAAAGTAATAATAATAAAATCTAAAGGAAGGAGATGGTCCGGGGTGGCTGTCATAAATAGGCTAAATAGTGGTGAAACTATTTTATTAAAAGTTTAACCACTATTATTTATGATGACCACTATTAGCCTATTTATGACCGCCACATATCCTTCCTTTATAATGCAACGGTCAACTATCAAATATTCAATAATAAAATATATTTCTATATTCTGTTAAATAATAGATGAATCGGATCAAAGTTTACCAGAATAATTTAAACACTATCATAATCATATATACTGTAAATGTTTTTTCTTTGTGCATATAGAACACAAATAAATATTTATATTTTATACTATATATTCTGCTGCTAGGATATCAAGGATCGAAAGAGTAAGAAACGTCACTATAAGGGAGAGATTCGAAATAAAAATACCAAAGATAATTGTAGCTTGGGAGGCAGAGGGTAGAAGAAGGAGAGGAAGATCCCAGTTAGATGGAAGGACAGAGTGGTGGAGAGTATGGCAGGCAGGATACTGTCGGAGGAGGATGCGATGGACCAGCAGAGATGGAGAGACTTGCTGAAGAAGGAGTTTCTTTAAGGAAAACTTCATATTGAAGAAATTCCTAAATTAAAAAAAACAAACTATTAATTCCACATTTTTGATGTTTTCTTTTCTATCGTGGTCTTAAGCACACATATTAATTTTTTTTATTTATTCTCTACATGAGATTTTCAAAATAGCCTTCTCATTACGTCCGCCATTTATGTACTTCCTCAAAGGGTAACATCCTTTGGGACAAGTACCTCATTGTACACTGACCTCAATACAAGACACAGCTCCTGCAGCCGGCTGAATTATCCAATCTACAGCTTCCTTCTGTCTGATTTAATCTGCTCATAAGTCACATTCTCACACCAATAGAGTCAGATGGTGGGCTATTTCCCGAAGGTATAAAAATAGTTATATTCGACCTTCTGACACACGCAAAAAGTGAAACCTACCGAATTCGAATATAAATTTAAATTTTAGGGGGGAGAAATGAGTATTTTGTAAATAAACCTACGTTGGCTAAATTGAGGCTGATGTGAATTCGAATTAAAGACTTGTAAATGTCACTGGTAAGTATTCTCAATTTTTTTTCTGTGCTCATGTTTACATTAAACACCAATCCTAAGTAACACCACTGAAACCTAACATTCCCCCCATTAGAAAAACATACAACACATTTTTATTTATTGAATTATGTAATTTTGATTTAGTTGTATTACATTCTGTCAAAACTGTGAACATTGGTAACAGTAATAAAAGAAGTAATTCGGACCATATTGACGATAAATAAAAATTTAATAAATGTAACAACTAAATAGGTAGTAGTATATTTTTAAAATGATTATTTTTCCTTTACAATTCAATTATGATTTTATAATACCTTTTTATTTACGTATTATCCGAACTATTGATAAATTTAAAAATACATCAATGGCTGTGAGATAATTGTTATGTTTATATAAGATGTCTATCGTAGTAACATCAAGAGAATTTAAATTATATTTAATTAAATAAAGAATATGAAAAAAATTGTTATATGTGTAACAAAGGTATATAAATATAGTTATTATACAAGAAGTGACTTGTAAGGACCGAATAAAGATAAATATATATGATAAATAGAAAAATGTTTTGTATTGATACGCTCAAGTGGCGGACCAGGAATTTAATTTTAGATATTTTTTATAATGATAATTACTCTGGAAGAAAAAAAATAACTACATATATGAAACAATGTTTAAGTGGTCCTTGAAGGAATAAAAGAAACATTAATTTCATAGTTCAAACATTTTTTTAATCTATTATAATTATATATATATATATATATAATTATATATGTATATAATGACTTATAATTATAATAGATAAAGAGAGAGAGAGAGAGTGAGAGAAGGGAATGGAGGTAATCATATTCATATTTAGCATGCAGATCCAACGGTTATAATTTTTAATTACTGACCCTTCAGTCATTGAAATGGTAATGAGTGAGATCCGAATTTGAATAGCTACTCATATTACTGTGGCATTGCCGTATAGTAACAGTAACATTAGTTACAATAGTTACTATATCCAAATCCGTGTTATTTTAAACATGGATCTCCAGATATCAAGGAAATAATGAAAACGTTTTCGGTAAAATCACATTTTCCAGATATTTTCATACAAATGCTATAGGCCAGGTCTGACAGAAAATTAAAAAGGTGTTATGAAAAACAAGAGGAATCGAACTATCAGTAGGAAATTACAAAACTACGGTTTTAATACGAAACAAATATAATCTTGATAATCAATATTACGTAGTCAAAAGATACAACAAAAAAAAAAAGAAGGAAATTCATCACCCATTCCTGCAACTTTTCTGGATTTTTGTACACTGATGGAGGTTTTTGAATATTTTTTTGTAATCAATAGACCAAAAAATGAAATAATCAATTAAGAAAACTTCACAGACTTTCATTCACCTCCCAGGTTGTAGAAACTATATAGGTTATAAGAATGGATTAATAATTGACTGTGGTAGATACAGATTGCAGATGGTTGGGGTGTGCAGTCACAAGTAACAAAGTAAAATGAATAAATTATATCTATTTTTATTATTGCAATACTTCCGGCCCAAGTTTCAGGCCTTCATCAGGGCTAAGAAAAGACAAAATAGCAATCCGTATGAGAAACTAGTTAACGGTAAAAGCATCAGGAACTTATGATATAAAGAACTGTAACAGAATTAGTTACTATAAAAAAATTATAACGGTAACAGAGTTGAGAACTTATGCTATAAACAATAATAAAAAACTGAAATAACATAATAAAATTAGGAAAGAAATGAAAAATTAATTACCAAAATAATGTAATGGAATATTAAGAGATAAAAAACGTAACAGGTAGACATAAAATAAATAAGTTGACGTAGTTGTTAAAAGTTTATATCTTAGTATGTTAAAAGAAAATGAGATCAATATAGAATAAAATGTAAAACAGTGAAAAGGAATATGAAGTTATATATATAATTTTTTTTTTAGATATATTTATTCAGAAATATACAATAATAATCTGACACACGGATAATTATTACAGCGAGATATGAACACATTCACACCAAATAAACAGAAAACATAAAATTAACGAAAGTAAAATAATAACTAAATAATAATAAAAAAAACTATATGCAATAAAAAATAAAATAACTTAAAGATAAGTAAATTGAAAACATAAAAACACAGTCACACCTATCAGGCAGGGAGTTAAGCCAGGTTTGTTCCTCCAACTATTGAGGGAAAAGCAGGACTCCAAGAGATCCCTTCGTTATTCTCTCAACGGTATCACTGGTGTTAAAGCCCATGGAGATCAAGCGAGAGCGCGATGAAGTTAATATAATATTAATATAAAGAAAGTTAAAATAAAAAATTTATGTTTTTTATTTATTTTGGCTTTGTTACTTGTCACTCCCACACCCACGCACACCCCAACGAATTCTTCTTCAATATAAATATAGGTTAAATTTTTAATATATGATTTTTTTTTTAACATCCTCATTACTAATCATTTTGAATATTTTAAATTATTTTGAGCCAGTTGTTCCCACTGAAGATACCAGCAGAGTGTTCACTAGGAAAATAATACGGTGCACGTCGAAGCCACAAATTGTAGCGAGAGATGATGGAACAAATTACTATTATTGCTGAATTTGTCGTCCAATTATGAACCGACAGTTTTTCTTCCGCATCGATCTTACTCCTGAGTCGTTTTTTTTTTTTGATAGATTAACAATTAGACAGCCATAGAAATATGTTAGTCATAAAATCTGATGTGTGGGTTATTATCGTTGTTATATCACAAAACTGAGTCATGAATTAAAAGTTTCATTTTCTATTTATATCACTTAATTATCAGAATTCAAAATTTAGGGTAATGAACTTGAAGGACGACAAAAGCAATTTTTTTTTTTTTTATAATTATTCCCTGAACCACTCCGGAATAGCAGAGAGGCATGAAAGGTGGAAGATAAAAGGCGCCGAAACAATGGGGATTGTATCGCTTGTATTAGTATTATTAAACAAACCTCTTGTGGCATTGGCCTTCATTACTGTCTATTCAACGCCGCAGGTGAATAACAACCCAAAAATTCTTCTTTATTAACCAAACACCTAATTTTCTGAATAATGTCAACAGAAAATTGATTTTCAGTCTGATACCATTCTAGAACATGTATCACCGATAATTGAAATAAAATTATTTTTATAAATAAAATATATATAATTATTATCCAAGTGGTTCTCCCCTTTTGATTTATGAAAAAAAAAAACTAATCAGTATCAAACGTAACAAATTAAAATTTATGTCTGCATAAACGTGCTTTGTGTAGGCATGTACTTCGATACTACCTTGCTGCAGTTAGAGAACCCTAGTTCACTACACTCGTTGTGCAGCTAGGTTTATTTATTTACAATGTTTTTTCAAAATTCTTGTTTTCATGAAACTTTCGCTTGGGCCTTAAGAGTGTGTCGCGAGGTAATAGCGCAGTACATGCCTACACAAAGCACGTTTTTGCAAACCGAACCAACATCCACCACGGATATACCACAAAATAAATTTTACTCGCTCACAAAAAGTTATCCACCCAGTCCCAAAATTACTCCATCTTACGGTATGGAGTAAATGTGTATTAGAATAATGTCATGGACAGACTTTAAAAGAAATTGCCCATTGGTCCGATAATAGTTCTATATTAAAAGGTCCTGAGACCACCTTCTTTTCAGAATGCAAGATGAGAAACCAGTGGATTTGGATAGACCCGAAGTTTATTATGGAAGTAATAATATTTCGATTGGGCTAAATTGGTTTTTATAAGCACAGAGTATTTTGTGGAGGATTTTGGATTATAAGGACTGGATGCGGCAGAAATTCGATGGTTTTGTGAAGCCCAAAGCTCAATCACATAAATCCAAATAGGGCTTATGAAACTCCAATAAAAAAGTCGTTTAAAGATTTTGTTTTCTTGCTTTAAGTAAGACTATATTAGCCATTCTTATATTATTACCCAGTCTTTTAAAGTTAATTGGAAGCTTAATACGTTTGTCTGGTAAGTGTTGAAGTAGTTAGAAACGTCTAGTAGTTTTAGTCCTGTATGAGGATTCTAATGAGACGTTTGTCTATATCAGGGTTACCCTCCCCTTCCAAAGTAGATAGAGCATGAACTTCTCATTCTTCTCAAAAAATATTATTGCTCTCATTTTCTTGAAAACTGTCTAAGTATAATTAGAAAAATCTTAGATCATATACAATTATACTTCCTGTGTTCTGGTCCATGTTGTTCCTCTTATTCGCTTTTTAACTAGGATATTGCTCCCGAAAAGTGTCTCCCTCAAATATTAAAAACACTGTACTCCCTCAAAAATTTTGATAGCGAAATCCCTGCCTCTTCTGGGCACACCTAGTGCAGATGGAGTACGAGAAATCAGTTCACTAGAGATATTTTTTTTGTAACGGATTAGTTCACCAGAGATAAATATTTTTTTAAATGAATATATATTTCTTCAAACAAAATACTACAAATATAATAA